TATTTATTTATTTTTTTTTTTCACACAGGCACACACACATTAATTAATAATGAATGGAGGCATTGCTCTGAAGACAGATGAAAAAAAAAACCTACTTGTTGAGGAGGAAATGTGCCTTTCCTCCACCCACTACTGTACGTTAATTTGTTACCCTATATTCACCGGCGTTAGTCCCGCTCACTCTCTCTATCCTGGCGTTGCCATGGATATGTTATTCCTATGGCAACTGCATGCCTTTGTGGATGGCCTTGAGCCCCCACCATGAAGGACTCGCTGAACCTTTCATTGCACATTTCCTTCAAGCTCGCAGAAAAATCACACAATGCCCATAGTTCAACTCTGTCTCTAACTCAGCTCTCCTTTCTCTGTTGCTCCTGCTGCTCCACCTTTGCAGCTGCTGCTTCGCCTTCCTGTAAAGTCCTTGACCACCACAGTTACACGTCAGTTTTGAATTAAAAAAAATCTTCAGCCAAATCTGATCTAAGATCTGATTTGCGCCACGATTCTCTGCCATGAGTCAGCGCTCTGAGCTTCTTAATGTCCAGTGGCAGAAACCAGAGCTCCGCTTTAAAGATGCATGAGAAGTTTGGAGAAACGGAGACGGAGGCTCGGCCAGAGAAAGTGCTTCTGTGCTGCAGAGAGTGAAAGGCAGGGATGGGAGTGCTTTGTGCACACAGACAGCAGTGGGGCTGAAGCAGAGTCCAGTGTCAGGACTGTAAATTGTGTGTTGGAAGGCAGGTGGGGTGCCTCCACCTGCTGAATGAACCCTGTTAGCATCGGGGAGTACCATGGGCTACGGGTGGGCGCAGCCCTGCTCAGCATTGTGGCCGGCTGCATCATCATCGGGGTGTCCCGGGAGTGTGATGCTGATGCTGTAGGAGGTATCTTTCTTGGAGCCGGAGGCCTCGGTGAGACTGATGAACATTGTAGGACACAGCATGGAGACATTTTTAGGTTATGGTTGTTCTGTGTTGTGCAAGTTGACCGTTGGCCAATGTGATTGTTGGACATGATGATTGATGGGTGTGTTTGCATGTGTTAAAAGCCTACTTTTGAGATTCAAACAGGAGCCCAACATTTTTCAGTCAGGTCATCTGGACAGTTTCTTTTTTGTGTGCTGAAATGTTTCACCTTCGATCCAGAAGGCTTCATCAGTCAAGGAAACACACAACACAAAACTGATTCTTCCCCCAACGTTTCAGCACAAAAAAAAAGAAACTGTCCAGATGACCTGACTGAAAAATGTTGAATTCTATACCTGGATTATTGAGCATGGACTTTGTTGTATTCAAGCAGGAGGTTGGCTTGAAACACAGCAGCGAAGGCTTCCTATGGAACAGAGCTGGTTGGCAGGCTGTAGACTGAGGAAGTCCTCTGGATGGGGAACGAAACACTTTTCACTTAAAGAAACTGGTCCAGATGACATGATTTAACCTTTTTTATTGATGCTCTGCAGTGATTTTCACACACAAAAAAAAACCTTTGGAAGATTTCTTGGTGCAATGAATTTGAAACATATCTTGTTCTAGGTTCACTAGATTATTAGTTATTTTGTATATTTCGAGTTCGAACAGGGTCTTTTTTGAAAAGCTGAACCAAGTGATTCAGTTTTATCCCTAACTACATCATCAAGTCAAACAAATACTTTTAATATCTTATTTTTTTTTATTGTATTTGAAGGGAAATAAATTTCACAAATCTTTATCAGAAGACTCCAAACGCCAATACAGTTCTATTAATGCTTAAAAAGTGAAACGGCGTGGTGTCTGTTTGCACGAGGATCAAACTAATGAATTAAAGAGGAACATCAGGATCTGTGGCCTGTGACATTTTCCATCCTTCGTTTGTTCATCTGATACAGCAGTGTAACCAGAAGCAGCTGGTGGATGGGCCGAGCTGCGTGGCCAAGATAAAGGCGTGTCTTTAACCGCTTTCCTGACCAGAAAGAGCAAAGGGCAGCTCTTCTGCTCTGAGGAAGTCACCAGCATGCATAGTTAATGTGAAATGTACTCTCACTGACGATCTGATCGGCTTTCAATAATTAACTTGTCTTCCTATAACATGGCTTCTAAATTTGCAAATCAAATCAGCGTGACTGAGACTCTTTCCTCTCGCAGCATCTGTGCGACTGAGCAGCGCCTAATTATTTGGAAGGGGGTGCCATGATGACGCCTCCGACACATAGGCTGACTAATGAGTATGAACAGCGTGTTCTCGGCGGATAGTTTTCACTCCTTCTGCAGTTTCATGATATTTCGAGCACAGACATGCATCACAGCCACCCTCAGGAGCTGCCGGCCTGCGTTGACAGCTCTTCGGGCTTATAAGGCGAATTAATAACTGTTGAATTGGAGCTCAGAGCCACAGAGAGGCACACAAGCCCTGCAGCTCAGATATTACTTTATACTTGAATATGCCAGTCATTAAGCCATGCAAGTTTATTCATCAAATTATTTCCCCCTTTTTCAGGTCTTCTCATATCGATTTTTCCCTTCATAAAAGCCTGGCTGAACATCAACAACATTTTTCCATCTTTTGGTAAGTTTTTGCATATGATACAAAAATTCAATCACTATATTGATAAAATAAAATTTAAAAAAAGTTTTCTATCCATTCTGCCTTCTTAACATCTCAGGAAACTTTAGAGTTCATCCCACACCAGCCGATCAACCAGCTGAGACGCTGAGACGAGAAGGTGAGCTGATTTTATTTATTTATTTTTTAATCCTCAGTAAAGATGTGGCGCCATTGACTTCTCTTAATAAAAAAACTTCTTGATAGATGTAAAACATAAACGAGGTAAGGGTCACCTCCAGTGGGGGAGGGGTAGTTTTTAGATGTATTTCTCTAAATCTCATTAATATCTCTCAGGATGATCCTCATATGTTCATCCATTTTCTTCCACTTGCTCCAGAGTCGGGTCGCGGGTGCAGCAGCTTGAGCGGGGAGGTCCAGATATCTTTCCACAGCCTCCTCTTCCAGCTCTTCTGAGAGGACTCCAAAGCTTTCCCAGACCAGCCAGGAGCCCTTTTCCCATGGGCTCGACTCGGCCCTACATGAGTCGACCTGACGTGGGTTGGTTCAGTGGCCTTCCATTGAATGATCTTACCTGCTAGCAGGTCGGTTCTTAAGATTTAAGGGGTCTAGATTGCAGGCAAGCTGATGATTTCACATTAGACTGCAGGTCATTGATTGACCATGGAGCCACGTCACTGCATGAGTCATGACAACAACAGCTTCAAAACTGTTGTTTTCATCCACCAGCCACACCAACTTGCACTCATCTCATTTCTTTGTAACGTAAACCTTCTCTGGCTCTTCTTTGAACGTTGAAATTCAGAGAGAGTTTCAGACAAAGTTTCAGGAGGGATTTGCAACAAAAGGGTGGCTTCAAAAGTCCAAGGAAAAGTTTACAAGACAGTGGCGAGACCAGCTATGGTGTATGGTCTGGAGACAGTGGCATTGACAAAAAGACAGGAGAAAGAACTGGAAGTGGCAGAAATGAAGATGTCGAGGTTCTCCTTAGGAGTGACAAGGATGGATGAGATAAGGAATGAGATCATCAGAGGTACAGCACAGGTTGGACAACTGGGTGATAAAGTGAGGGAGTTCAGACTGAGATGGTTTGGACATGTCCAGAGGAGGGGCAGTGGGTATATTGGTAGAAGGATGTTAGAAATGCAAATATGGATGCAGTTAGAGAGGACATGGAGGTAGGTGGAGTGAGGACAGCGTGAGATGGAGGAGGATGACTCGCTGTGATGACTTCTGAAGAGGGAAAAGCTGAAAGAAGAATAAAAACAACATACACTTACTGTTTGAATGAACATGCATTATAATTTCACCCCCACCCCCCCCCAAGTGTTATTCTCCATTCCTTGTTGTTTTAAGTTTCTTTGTTCTCATATGCGTTTCTAAGTTTTTGCCTGCATTCTTGTCTCATTTACGCACCTATTAGTGACAGTTCATCCCATTTCGTCTGCTCTCCTTTGGTCTCCTCAGGAACTCAGAGCCAGATCCAACTGGAGCGTTCTAAGAGTCGTATGGGAACCTTTGTAGAAGGAGGACCAGTGTCTGAACCCAACCCAGATGAGGGGTATGAACCTATAAACGGTCATCTTTCATTTAATAACGATCAGTTAGTGTGATTTATTTTGTTTGTTTCTTTGTTTCATACAAAGAGAAAGCAGAGTTGTGATATTATACCAAAGAGAACAGTTTTTATCTGGAAGCATACCTTGGTACTAAGACTGCAAGTATTATAGACCAAGACTGTGCTGTGCAGAAGTTTTAGACTACCCCTAATTTATTTAAAATGTTTGACTTTACTGTAATCTTTTAAAGTGATATTGAGCTGAAGGTTTGGTTCAATCCAGTCCTCATGTTTGACCATGACAGCATATTGTACCATATGTGCCTGGTGTTAGTAAGGGTTTGTGCTTAAGTGTCAGAGCTACAAAAACACAATTTACATCAGATAAACAGTATCTGAAAGTCTTTAAGAAACAGAAAAAAAAAATCCAGCAAAGTCCAGGCACACCAGAACTGTCATATCTGCCTTCAGCTGATCTACATGTCACGTTACCTCTTTTTGAGAATCACCTCGATGATGCAAAAATACAGTTTTTCTTCTTTCAAACCATCACCTTTGGTATTATTTAAAAACATAACTAAAGGAACTGGAATAATTAGTGCCTCTGTTGCAGGAAGTTCCTATGGATCCACTTTAACACTGGTTCTGTTAATTGTAGACACAACAATGGCTCATCCCTTGAGTTTAGGGGCTTTTTAAGGCCTGATCAACTCATAGATGAGAGTTGAATAAAACTATTACTCTGAAAATGATCTAGTGGACAAACAATTAGTGAAAAAGCATGAGTTAAAAGCAGAAGAAAACAAACTAGAGAAATCCTGGAGGAATAATGAGCATGTTTAAATATTACAAGAACATCTGACTAGATTATATATTTAATGTACCGTAGCCTGTTTGGACTCAACAGATCAATCCGCTGTAGGTCTTCTCTAGTCCTGTAACACAGTGTACCAAACTGCTGTGACTCATGCTTTTGTCTGTTTCAGGACTTCAGACATGCCAGATGTCTTATCAAGACGAAAACAGAAACAGTCAGCTACCGATCAAGACTTGCCATGATTTCAACATGACGAATCAATAAAAATATCTGCTTCTGAACAAATGTTTCAGCTGAAGTGTGGGCTGAGATCACTTCGTCATATTTTAACTGTTTCATCTAATAAACCTCTAAAGATGAAGTTATGATTATTGGTAGAACAGTGTTGTACTGCCTGGTAGAAAGTGGGCCAAAATAACCAGAAAGGTCCAGTTTATGAGTTGTTTATGGCGCCGTGCCGCATTTAAGAATTTGTGTTGAGTAGAATTCTGCTGAAGTTCCCCTGCACACACACGTGCTTCACACAGACACACACACGGAGTGACCTGCACCCCGCCGGGCCACACAATGTGCTTATTCAGGACAACACAAGCGAACAGCAGCAAGTGGAGGTGGGCTACGGCCTGACAACAAACACACCGTGCTGCGAGGCTGAATGATGCCGAGCTGTGTCGATAAGAGGAAACCACCAAGAGGCTGACGAGTTGGTGGTGCCTCGATGGCAGGCAGTAGCTTGATTGTCAGGCCTTAAAATCGCAACGCCTTCCTGCACAGTCGCTCTGACGTTCACTCACAAAGAAGGCTCGGTCAGTTCAGGATGCATTGTAGACGTGCACAAGAACAAAGAGAACGCTGACCAGTTTAAAACTATCCTCCTATTTTCAATGCAAACCTAATATAAAATGTTAAATCATTTCTAACGTCTTTCAAGGAGCCAGACGTTCCTGTAACCTGATAAAGTCTTTACAGCTCATTTTCCGTGCAGTCGTTTTACACGACCATCACAACATGTTGCGCAATGCGTGCGTTAAAAATAAGTAAAATGAGCACAGGGAGTGTTGGCAGCAGATAAAGAGCACAGAAAGTGATCAAATTAGAAAAAGGAGGGGGGGGGGGGGGGGGGAAATCCATCATTGACCTGACACAGACCCTGAGAGATGTGTCATCCATCAGCAGATTTTTTTGTGGTTGATGAGATTTTAGCTAACAGCTCTTTTGAGACTGCAGGAGCAGCCGAAATACTTTTTAAATCATCCAACTCGGTTTCCTTTGGTGTTTAGATGCTATTCAAGAAAGGGGAATCATTTGTAGCGGGTTGTCAGCAACAACGACTGAAGATCTTGTTTAAAACGGTTTCTTAAATAATCTTTTGTTAGGTTTTGACATATCTTTGGTTCTTCTCTTGAGCTCAGAGGCTTTTGTTGTCTGAATTATCCATAATTCAATTTTAAACGGCTTAACTAACAAAACAAACCTCAGAGGATGAGCAGGCGCTGGACAGAAAAGGAGTGAAAAAGCAGCAGAAGAAGAGAGATTTAAAGCCCTTCAGAAGTATAAGTTCACTTGTGTATATTTTTTTATTAATCTTTTATTGTTTTGAACTTTAACAAATGCTTGACATAAACAAATACCATTCACACAATTCTTATTAGCACATCTGCATTGGCCTCTATAAACTTAAATTACACAAAAGACTCAATTTAATCTAAAAATAAATAAACATTACTGAATAATTAACCTTTTGTAAGTCCAGGTGAGACAAAGCAAAAACATGGAATTCTATAATTGTCTTTGTTTTTGAGTTTCTAAGGAATTCCAGCTGGATAAAAAAAATAAAAAGATGTAAATAAAAGTATTTCTCAAAGCTCCAGAGTCCCTGAACCACAAGGAACTTGTTTCGTTCTGTAAAACTGACGGAGTTGTGTCCATTTCGGGGCTGTCGTGGTCATCTTGAAGCAGACTGACTCCAAAGGTTAATCAGTTGTTCTTGTATATTTAATCATTACTTTCTAAAAGTTTCACTAAAACCTGTCTGGAAGTTTGTGAGTTATTTTGCAAACAGACGAACACGGCTGAAGCGTTAAGCGAATACCTCTCTCACAGAGCAGAACTTAGAGCAGGGGTGGAACTATTTCTTCCAAAGAGCCAAATCAAAATATTTAAAACAACAGAAGGGCCGCTTAAAGAATTGCAAAATAAAATTTTATTAAGACACAAAATCTAATATACATATAAAAATATTATATTTACGTTTTTTTTTTTTCTTGTTAGCATAGCTTGCTCGATTAAAAATATGTCCCCCCAAAACACCATAGAAATATAAGACATACTTTCTGTGAAATGTCTCTGTATATAAGCCTAAATATGGTGTCAAAAAGTTATATATTTGAGTTTTGGAGCGTAGTTCTACAAAAACTTAAAAATTGCCTTATTCTAAAGGGTTTTGTTAATTGATCCAAAATGTTTAGTTTAAACTTAAGATTCTTCAAAAATGTTTTCATCAACTTTTTAAAAAGTTGTTTTCTTTTCAATTAAGAGTTTTGGGGACCGGTTGGAGATTGTCCAAGGGCCACTTTTGGCCCTCGGGCCGTACGTTGCTCAAGTCTAGAGCTTGTGTTGAGCATGACTCTCAGCTACTACCACACCAGATTTGAGCTCAGTGTCATTAAAACTGACTGACTTCGAGGCATTTTTCTGTTCTTTAAGGTGACTTGGCTATGGCGGCCATCTTGACTCGGGTTGACACCAAAAGGTAATCAGCTGCAGATCTTCATCCGATTATTATTTTCCAAAAGCTTCACTAAAATTCGTCCATGTGGTTCACGAGATATTTTGCTAACAGACGCATGCAGACATGAGCAAAAACGTTATCTCCCGCTCACATATTTGTTGCTGAGACTGAGAAACACAGCAACAGCGTTCATCTTCGTCACCCCGCCCCCTTCACACGCATGCACGCACGCACGCGCGCGCACGCACTGAGCAGCTCCTCGGTGATGGATGGATCCATGAGGAGACAAGAGGAGCGTCTCATCCAGCAGAGAGGGGACTGGCTCATCAGACCTGGATTAACCAGGAGGAGATCCGCCTCAGACCTCAAACCATTTCCGCTGCAGGAGGAGGAGGAGGAGGAGAGGAGCTGTCAGGTGCGCCTCCGTGCGCGCCAGGTCCACATCCGGAGCTGCGGCTGCGCGTCCAAACCACAAGAAATGTCGCCTCACCTGAGAGATCTCCCCCCTGACGGATTTGACAGCCCGCAGCAGCTCGGCTCCTCTTCTCCTCGAGCTCCCTGACTCATGACTCGTGCCTCTCAGGGCTGAATCATTAAAAAGGAGCTCGGTTCGGTGTTGGCGCATCCTGTCTGTAATCACACGCGACCATCAGGCGGAGGATCCCTCGTGACAACCTGCCCAGTGGATCATGGACCTTCACTGTGGCGACATGAAGGGTAAGACTTCATTTAGACGCTTCTCTTCAATCTGTTTACAGCAGTTTCCTCTGATGGGCCGTGCATCACCCAGCTGTGCACAGATGTTCAATAATTAAGAATCAGTGAGGAGATTTTCAGTCCTGAGTCACAGGATGCGTTTGAGGCTTCCACAGATGAAGTGTCATGTTTTCGACCAGCATTTATTTATTTATTTTTTCCAAACTGGTTCCTGAGTTTGGCTTTAACTCTGATTGTGATCAAGTCACGCTTCCGCTCTAAAAGATCATTAAAAACATTCTCTTTGAGCTGATCGTTATGAGATGTCCACACTTTGTGCAGACAATGTGGACAAGACGTGATGAAGAAAAGTTTGGACCGTTTGTGTTCCTGTTATTGAATCACTGGATCCTGAGGAGGAGGAGGAGTGCAGGCCAGCAACCTGGCATGAGAGATCCTCTAGAAGAGAGAGTCAGAAGTTGGACAGAGCGAGGCAGCAGATGTGAAACAGTAATCTTTAATAAACAGCGCAGCCTGTTTAATCTGTAAATATCTAGTCAAAATAATGTTTTACTCAGAACAAGAAGCTCAGATCAGAGTGGAAAACAAACAGAAGCTCCAAATGTGTTCTGATCCTGATAAAACAGCACCAGTTGATATCATGGAGGTATAATTAGTTTTAGTGGTGCTGCCATTTTGGACAAAAGCAGCAAGCAAGGAATGAGGGTTACACAGAATTAGGATTAGGATCTCAGATTACAGTGTAAACTAAGTCTGACCTGTAGTTCCTTTTTGTTTCCCGCTTTGATCTCTTCAAGCAGAAGCCGGTGGTTGTGTACTGTTCACGACCTCTGCTCATGTTTGGTGAACTAGCAGTGCAGTGACGGTTGAGCGTCGCTCCGGTCTCTGTAGTGACTGCCCCGCGCTCATTTTCTTTTGTTCTGTGTGTCTGATAAAAGATAGACGATAGAAGCCGTCTGGAGGTGACGACATGGTTATCGCCGATAGAAACAACAGCACCCCTGTGCCTAAAAAGGAGCCGAAGAAGAGGAAGTCCCGCCCCCATGGCCTCCCCTCTCCGGCTCTCTGCTGTGCCTGTGGTTTATGCATCATGCTGGCGGGACTCAACATCACCCTGGTGGGAGCGTTCGCCTTCAGCACGCTGGTGCCTTCTGCCAACCCCCCCATCATCATCGGACCCGTCCTGCTGCTGGTGGCCTTCTCTTTCTTCGGGGCCTGCTGCGTGTGCAGCCGCCTGCCCCCTCCCCACAGCTCACGGGGGTCAAAGGTGGGCGGCAGGGGCACGGGGCTGATGGGACACGGCGGGCTGTCCGGCGGGGCGACGTTCGAGATCGAGACCAGCGAGCACACGCTGCAGGACACCACAGCTGTGCAGCTGAGCCCCACATCCTCGCCTGGGTCCTCGAGGGCCCCCAGCCCTGATATGGATCCTCTTGACGCGGCCCTGCCAGGACCATGCAAGTTTTTCACCATGGAGACCAACGGTCCCTCGTGCGTTTCTGCCACCGCAGCGTACTCAGCCTCGGCTGCAGCAGACGGGGAGGTGAGGCTCAACCTGCCACGTGAAGAAGCCACCGCCTAGCAGGCCAGAAAAAGCCAGAGTTCTTCAGTGTAAATATGCTTCTAAGCCCAGGGGATGCTGGGATAGAGTCTTGTCAGTGCCATATCCGGTTGTCAAGAGTATTATTTTGATCGCTCTTACTGTGCACAAAGTTAAATAGCATGCAAAGTTAAAGAAACATTAAAAGTGTTTGTGGATTTTTACGTTTTGGAATGGAAATTCCTACCTCCGTTGCTGTTCCCTTACTGGTCCATCTCAAACGAGGGGCATTGTAAACAGGTTTAGAAACGAACGCACCTAAAACCATCTGAACTCACCTTGTGGCTGCAGCTGCAGTGACCCCCGTCTGTCAGCGGACGTTCCAGAGGGCTCAAAAGACAAACTCGATCCTTCCTACATCCTGAAAACGTTACATTCTGAAAGTCAGCAGTTGATTCTGACAGGAGACATTTGGCATTTCAGTGAGCGGCGCTCGGTAATGAACTTGTTTTTATGGACACAAAATTTATAGGCCACAGGGGTCCCAAAGCAATACGCTCTCACTGGAGATTAAATTCTCAGCACAAGCGTGTGAGGACGCAGCACCACAGCCAGTACATCCGCAGGATATTTACACACGCACCGACCTTCAGTGCATCTATAGTTCGATGTAGCTTTTTGTCATCTCTTAACAGTAACACTGTGAATACTGCAGCTCCAAACCTTATGGTGCATTTTGTTAATCATAAAAAAAAAAAAAAACAACAACACACATTTAATCTATTGTGGAACTTAATTTGGACATGAGTTTTCTAATATTTACATCACTGAAAAGCCTATCTGAATTTAGACATTTCAAAAGTATCTGCTCCCTATCACTGTGATGTCTTGTCAGCCATAAACCTGAGCGGCCACAGGAAACATTGAAACCCTGATCCTTTGAAAGGAAAGTTGCCTTAGACTGAAATATCAGGATCAATCCGATGAGGGCTAAACAAAAGTGCACAATTGCCATTTTCTTCAGAAAGCCTCTCTTCGGCTCTGGGTTTTAAGTAAAGTCTGATTTATTTTTGTTGTTGTAAGTATTAATAATGCATGCAAATGACCTAAATGTTCGATCTCAGAAACCTAAAAGGAGCAGAGCTCCCGGACTCAGAGACACATTCTTTTATCCTCACAAGGATCAATTTTCTGCTCAAAGCTCAGCGTTGTGCCAAATGATGGGGCCGAGCCGAATTCTGCATGTTCTATTAAAAAATAACAGACTTACGGAGATGAAAACATCCTGTTGTGAATCGCTGGTGTTGTCTGTGTGTATGTGTTTTTGTTTGTGTAGCAGGTAAACAAAGGAAAAAAAAATGTAAGAAATGAACTATTTTTGTGACGTTTATAATTTGAAGTAGCCATTGCCAGTGTGAATCCTTTAAAACATATAAATAAAAAACATGTATTTCAGTAAAATATGAGGTTAGTGGTTATATGTGATTTTGCAGTTATTATGAAGGTAAATTATTTAAATGAGGTTTGTTTTGTCCAGCCACCACTGTAAAACCTTCAACTAGTCAATTTAATTGAACAACCGTTCAACTCTCGCTTGTTAATTTTCAACCAGCTCTGTTCACGTTGACTCTGGGGTTAAAAACCAACAAAGTCTGGTGGAAAATCTGGTGCAAAGCACAAGAATTGTTGCCTAGTTTCCAAACACATTTTATCAAGATGGCTTGTGACAGAAAGTTCAACATGAGCTCCATCTGGCTGCTCCAATTAAACAGTTTTATATGTGATGATAAAGAGCGGCCACCAGGGGGCGCCAGAGTTATTTCTTCCGATTCTCAGGTGGTTTATATAATATGAGGCTGTCATTCTCCAGCCTGCACAGAGGCATCATTAAACCTGCTGGTTATTGTTGAGGTTGGAGCTCTGCTGTGAGAGATAATGGGAGGGGAAATGAAAACTGGATTATTTTCAAACGCAGAATCATTACAGGAGCCTGGTTTCATAAAACTGTGATTTTCTAACAAGAGATAAACGGCCATGATTGTCGCCGTGATGTTATTTAGAGTGAAAACATGACAGTGCTGTTTCAGCTTTAATGACTAATGATGGGGAGGATTTATTTAAAGAATCTGACGAGGCTGTCTTGTGCATGATGAGGACACAGACTTGCGCTGCCCTACTTTCTGAGGCAGATGAACAAAATGGGCTCGGGAACTCCATGTGCATTCTGTTAGTCAGAGAAAACCTTAATTAGAAAAATACATTTGAAGTGAGCTTCATATCCACCAAACAAGTCCTCAGCAGCAGGACCAAAACCTGCGGGAGTTTAGAAGCACTGGTTTAAAAATGATGAGTTATCATGGTGTATTTTGGTTTAGCGCATAAAAAAAATACGGTCTCATCCACTTCCTTTAACTGTACCAATGAGGTTAAAAATATCTTAGAAAGCAGATGGTTTGTTGAGGGTTGTTGCTGTTCATACATGAGCCAAGAAGGACACTCAGCCAAGAAACTGAGGCTGTCATGTGTTCACCACATTTTCATAGAGTAACCATCCCCATTAAAGAACTACGGTACTTGAGTTTCTTTTTATGTGGGGTTCTGTGGAAAGGTCATAAACAATCAACATCTTACCTGTAGGCCTTTGAACAACGTCAGTTTATTTTTGACCACAGTGACAAGCTAAGAGTCGGGGAGAGAAGTGAAATCTATCATTGCCCGGTTAAAAAAGTAGCTTCAACTAGTAAAATCATTATTTTTTATCTTTTTTTCCCTGAATTATGAAGAATATGTGTCTATAAATTGCTGAAGTTATCATATCATGACATTCTTTAGTAACAACTTTGAAATGTTTGATTCGTTTCCAGTGATCAATTCAATGCTAATTGCATTAGCTTGTTTATGACATTTTCAGTGTTAAGTTAGCATCTACGCTAACAGCTGGTCAATGGCCTGTGATTAACAGGGTTTATATATATATATATATATATACATATACATCCATCCATCAATCCATTATCTTTACCCGCTTATTCCATTTTGGGTCACGGGGGTCGCTGGTGCCCATGTCCAGCAATCACTGTGCGAGGGGCGGGGTACACCCTGGACAGGTCGCAAGTCCATCACAGGGACACATAGAGACAAACGAGACAAACAACCATTCACTCTCCCACTCACACCTAGGGACAATTTAGAGTTACCTAACATGCATGTTTTTGGTCTGTGGGAGGAAACAGGAGTACCCGGAGAAAACCCACGCATGCACGGAGAGAACATGCAAACTCAACCCAGAAAGGCCTCTGGACAGGGGTTTGAATCAGGGACCTGCTCGCTGAGAGGCAGCAGCTCTACCAGTTGTGCTGCCATATATATATATATATATATATATATATATATATATATATATATATACATATATAAAATAAATAAAGCAGTATTTTTATGTAAATAAGTCTGTCATTTACATTTAAAGATAACCAAAATACATTGATAACCCCTTTAAAATAATCGAATCAGGAGATTTTAATAAAATCCTACTCCAAGCTAACAGGAAGTGTGAGTGGGGCTCAGACCAGAATGGATTGCTGGTGTCTTAAAACAGCACCAATCTAAATAAAAATCCCAATGGTTTTAGAAATAGTGTGCGCAAAGGTTTATTGAGACTAAAGTTGTTTTAAGACAGCGCAGGAATCCCCTTTAGTCTTGGCCCCGCTCACACTAGCCTCATGTAGCTCATCAATCTGGTCAGACTTAAACTCTGTTTCTTCCAAATGAGGTCATTCAGAGAGCTATCTACAACAAGATAATAATTGTTCATAGCTTGTTCACAGCATGTCATTTCAGCAGATTTGATTTGTTGCTTTAATTCGGTGCCAAGTTTACATCATGCTGTAGATAACGCTCCTGGACTGTGCTTCCTTCATGTCCTATCTGTCGAATGAAGGATTTTATCAAAAGACGCTGCACCTTTCGCCACCTGGATGCTGAACAGTTCACGTCCTTTTGGAGGTGAACGGGTTTGTGGCTGAGCTGCAGTTTGTGCAAAAATATCTTTTTGTTTATGGCGGGCAAAGTTCAAGGAGATGGGTCATGTTAACCACTGGAGTTTAGCTTAGCTGTCACAAAAAAACACAGTAACCAGTGGATGTCACTCTCTACCCCTGGAGTTCCTTCGTCATCTCGTGACAACACTCTGTCCTCTGCTTTTAAACGCCTTTTATAGGCGGAAAAGTGGAAAAAGCTGCGGCCTTCATTCTCTGGCGAACTGTCAAAACATGTTTTTACACTACACCATTCTATCCCTTTTAGAAGCAGCCAAGTGGTTCTTTTACAGCTCCGCGGGACAGAAATGGAAACTTCCTTATTGCTGGTAATAAGTTGGGCTTCTTGGACAGCTCATTTGGCAGGACTGCTTCATGCCAAATGATGGATAATGAATGCTTGTAGACGTACTGTCGAGGGCTTTTGACCTGGATACGTTTTATTTTACCGCAGACTGTTGGGTGTAGCTGATCAGCAAGAAAGAGAAAAGAACAGAAAACAAGTTTAGTGCACTGTAAAGCATTGAGGAGGCAAACATCTTAAAGCTCAGTAAGATTATTTGCTGAGGCTAAAACTTGAAATGCACTTTGCTTCCATGACCACTGACAGTGCAGTGTACCTAGTCCAGAGTCTGAATTCATTCCCACAGGTACAACTCTGCAGATACGACTGCATACGATGCTGGAAATACTTTAAACCGCAAAAGAAAGGGTCTGGTAGAAACGCTGTCAAACACACTCACAGCTGACCTCGGATGCGTTCATTGTTTGTCTTCTCCATCACTACCGCGAGCAAATGCTGCCGAACAGCTGAAAACACATACATTACAGGCACCTGCGCTCGCATCACCAGAATCCCATCCGCTCTGAACCGGAGCGCGGCGGATCCAGACGCTTTGCTCATGTGCTTTTGTGTGTGTGAGAACAACTCAGTGGAATGAGGCGGCAGAGGACGGAGGGTGTAATCAAGCTGCAAAGATTAGGGGAAGACGAGCTGCTGAGGATCCAAGAGAGCAGACACTGGTTATATAATGCTAACCCAGTTCAATCTGCTTCCACCCAGGGAGACTGCGACGAAAGGACACGTACAGAACCCGTTCATTCAGACTAAACTGAACTGGGTCGTTGATAATCTGGATGCGAGTT